TTTCATTTCGTTCAAGTACATCAAAAAAGAGTCCGAATTCATCGACTGAATGTATAATAAATGTATATTGTTTTTGAGAAATTTTTAACATAGATGAAGTTTCAAGAACATAAAGAGTATTTAACCAAGAATCTAATTCAAAGATAAGAAGAAAATTTTCTCGAAAATTGAATGATATTAATAATGTATTACTTTTTCGATTTTATCCAGTATAATCCAACCTATCATGGATAAAGTATCAGTCATGTTTTGTTTTGCTAAATGAATTGAATCTGATGATGATGATGGCGTAAAATTCAAAGAGATATTTTCAACATTTAAACGCCAAATATGATATTTTGCAGACTATGTAAAAAGAAACAAAATGTTGTCTATTCTACGAAAAATAGATTTTTCAAAAAAAAAAACATTTTCCTATTTATATCGATTAACTTTCAAACTAAACTGAGGTCTCTTTTAGGGATACTTTCTTTCCAACATTTTCGGAAACGGCTCATCAAAAAAAAACCATGAAGAGTACAGACAAATGTGGACTAGACTCAAAATTGCCGAATAAAAAAAGTCAAAATATCGAACGAAGCTCAAAAGACGCTGGCTTTTTCTACTAAGACAAATTTTGTGAAAGTTGTCAAACATCACCGAAGAAATATGCGTGTCAATCAGCAACTAGTATATTTGAAAAAGTTTCAGCTTGATTCAAAGTTCTCGATAGAAACCAGTTTTCGAAACACCAATTGTATTTATCTGAGAAGGAAATATCACAGTACGCTTTGTTCTTCCTTTTCCCTCAATTCCTGCAAAACTTTTAGCACTCCGAGAGTATATGTTGGAAAAACAGAATTGAATTTCGATATTCTTCTGAATATTCATCCTTTGAACTTATTTTCTACGTTAAGAGAGTACTTTATTTATATTTGTGATAGACACACAATCAAAGATAAAACAGCATACCAATTGAAATTCATCTCGTATTTTCAATTTTGCTTTGAATAGAGCGAGAAGAATAAATGAAAAACACGCCAGATCCTTTCTGAATCAGTTGTGTTAATATTGATTTTTTGAGATCAAGATATTATCAAAAGGTTCTGGTAGATTACTAGTCTTTTTACTTAATGGATTATTATATAAATATGTATCATATGGATGTTTTGTTCAAATAATGAACTAAAACGTGTTGTTGTCTCATTTGAAAAAAAGACCATTGAGTTTGTTGAAAAAATTTTGTTTCTTTAAATAATTCTAAATATTTCTCAAGTTTATATCGATTACTTGTTAATTTCTGTTCGAGTATTTGTAAGTAAAATTCTTTGAAACATTTATTTCAAGTATACATACTCTTGGTAACATAGATTCTAATTGAATTGCTACATGTTCAAGATCTGTAGGTGATTTATCAGTTTTTAATATGCCGAAATTATCCTATTAAAAATTAAAAATAAATTTTTCTTCTTATAATCAATTTCCTATTGTTATTGATAATGTCGAAACAAAAGCATCAAACCAATTTAATATAGAAAAATCAAGACGAATAACAAGAGGCATTATTTGAATAAATAAATCACTATTGAATACTACAAATAAAATAATCATAAAATACTTTCCTAGAATTATCTTTTGTTCAACTTTACCAGAAATAAATAAGATGATATGTTGAAAATGAATCGTACCTAAATTATCTAGTAAATGATAATAAGATTTATCAAATGAAATTAATGATCGATACGTTTTTTAATCTTTATCATTATTTAATGAAACAAGATAATAAAAAAAAAAGAAAAAACAAGATCATCGATATTTATCACACTACATGATTCAAATAAACGAATTTGATTTGTACGTATAGCTTTTTCGAATTTTTTAGCCAACAAATAATTTATAATAATTTGTTTTTTTGCTTCTTAAGAAAAAGTTTAAACTTACATGTTTCATCATTTGGTATAGAAATGTTTACTGTATTGAATTGTGCATACTATTCTTTATGTAATCTATTGATCCATTCAGTACGATTCATTGATTAATTTTTTCTATATTTTATTCAATGTTTTCTTGATGATTCAGATTCATGATATTGATAAACAGTAATTGATAAATTTGCTATAGCCATTAGAAGTGCACCATTTTCGACTAAACAATTAACTAAAATAGAAATATTTTGTTTTTGGTAAAATATTCATATAAATGAATTGTCTTTATACCGAGAATATCTGAATCAGCTATCATATATAAATCTAATCGTTTAACATTAAAATGTAATGATGTTTCAATCATCTTATATCGAGTAAATGGATCATTCAATTATTGTTCAGTAATGAACGAATTAATTGAATTTATTCGTTCATTAGGTCCTATTCTTGATGGTCTAGCTTGAAATGTTGGTGAAGGTTGTTGTCGTGCTAATTCCTAAAAAAAAACAAATTAACAATTGTATAAACTTTTTTTTCTCAGATAACAATGAATCATTGTTTTGATCATTATATATATCACAAATGTTATTCCAACTGTTGATTTCAAGATTTCATTCTTTAGGTGTCAAAATGCTTTTCAATCGAGACGATGTTGATCCGATGAGTAACGAAAAAGTCTGGAATGATTTGGTATTCAGTGCATTTAATAACCAAAGGTAGAAAATACTAGAAAAGTTAAAACTCACCCAATGAACTAATTTCGTTGAGAATTATGTTCGTAAAAAGTTTGGAGTCGAAACTCAAAAGTCAATGTCACATGTGATCGGAGGATAATCATAGCTTTTTTTGTTGAAAAACAGAGTAAAACTTCTGTATTTCAAGAACGAAGGCACCGAAAACAAAACCGTTCTAGATCTTTCCATTACTCTTAAAATAAAAGTCATCTTGACTCAAAATCAATTTGACACCTTTAGAAGTTCTTATGTGACTTATCCAGAAAATATTTGAATCTACATTGAAACCTTTTGACATTTTATATACGCCTAATATTGATCAAGATGTGAAAAATTTGATGTAACGCTGTCTTTCGAGAGAACGGTGGTTAAGCTTTCGAGACAAGTGCATCAGAGTGAACGTGTAATTAAAATTTATTATGTTTTTTTTTCTATTTGTCACGAAATAAAAAGTATACTGAATACTTCTACGATTACAATTTTTATTTCAAAGGACACTTGTACAAAAGATGTCTGAAAAAATGAAAATTTTGAAACGAAACATGTAGTCAATTCATATTGATAATATTTCCAAGCGTAAATTATATCAAACGTAGCTGTTGACATGAAAGCTCAATTACTTGACATAGCTGCTAGTGATGTTAACAATTATTTGCATGACTCTTCAGCGAGAATGGTTCTATAAAGAAAAAAAAATCCTTGCGTCGCTGGTATTGAATATAAATCTAGCACGTCTTAGAATGAACGGTACTTCTACGACTTCATTTTAACTACCATAATAATGTAGAACTTTCTACTTCAACTCTACAAAATCATACTCTGTCTCGTAAGTATTCTCAATATTCATATAGGAAATTAGATCTTCAGTTTTCGACAATTTCATGAAAATGTTTTTTTTTTCGAAATATTTCACATAAATTTCTCTAACCTACCTCGTTTCATTAATTCAGTTATTTCTTTATAAGTATTTAATGCTGATTTTAATTGTGTATCATTAAGAACAGATAATAAATCATCAAATTCTATCATAACACGAGATACTATCATTGAACTATCTACGAGAATAAATCAAATTCAATTTTATTAATTTTACAAACAAAAAAAAAAAAATTTCAAAATAAAAACCTTTAAGATTCTTTTTCATTGAAATTCTCATCCGACATGAATTGACAATTGATGATTTCTGTACATCACGAAGTTTTTCAGATGTTCTAATTTCAATATTAACATCATCTAATAGCTATATAAGTAATATATGTTATATTGAATATTATCTTATTTTTGTGCTTACTAATTGAATTGGTAAATTTTTTAAATATGTCCAAGGAATTTATAATAAAAAGAAAAAAATGAAACTTTTTGTCTTTTGTTTTTTTTCTTTTGATTGTTTTCTACTTTAATAAAAACTCGTCCACATGTTGCTTTTGGATTTGAAGCCATGGTTGACACTTTAGTAACATCTTCTAATGCTAGTTCATCGATGTTAATTGACCTTCACCTTTTATTGCGTTTAAATTAATTTGACCTGCTGAAAGATTTTTGACAAATATTCAAATCATTCAATAAAATACAATATAGTTGACTATTTATTCCATTAAAGAAAAAAAAAGAACATTCAATTTTGAGATAAAAAAAAATAATTGATATAAAAAAAGATAGACATAACATTATGTTGAAAATAATAAGAACAGCTAGAATTTCGCTGTGGCGACTTCAGGTACGTGGATCAGCATTTTTTATTATTTGGATTTGTACTTGCAAAATATGAATCCCAAAAAAAAAAAAACCAACAGCAGTCGCTAGTACTATTGTTTTGATTCCAACTTCTAAAACAAAAGTAATCAGACATGATATACATTGTTATTAAATTACTTACGAGAATTCGATGGTGGAACAGGCATTGGTGGAACAAGCATTGGTGGAACAGGCATTGTTGGATCAAGATGGTCCATCGTGATCTAAAATTAACGAGTATAATTTTATTTAGTCATAAAGATCTTATCAATTTATTATACAGAAAGTGTGTTTTTTTATGTTTTTTATTTTCATTTTGGGAAAAGAATAATGCACTAGATTATATTTATACAGACGGTACTTACGAATGGATCTTCTCGTGCTTTAGCAATAAGAATTTTTTTCGACATCTAAAAAAAAAGACATAGGTAATATGAATAAATACAAGTGGTCAATAACGCATGTGAAACGCAGCTTTTATAGCACGTTTTTTTTCTTTCTGTCGTCGTCAACTGTCGCAGTCGAAACGAAATATTGTTTTTCACTATTACCTCGACTATTCGTTCATTTCTCTCTCTTATGGACACAAAAGCACAAATCGAATGATACCCTCGATATCATTATATTATTTCGAGAAACACAAAGACATGTAGAAGAAACATTCTTTAATACTATCTTGAGCGTAGCCGACGAAATTAGACATTGAGGATACATCACTATTGGTTCATATATTCACACATGGTCACAATAGGGCACTTTTGTTTTTTTCTTCTACAAGCGAACAAATACTTTCATGTATTCACTTCGCCTATTGTTGGGGCACATATGAAATAAACATTAACAAAAGAATAATAAAAAAAAAAAAAAAAAAAAAAAAAAAAGATTTTCTATTTTGTCAATATAATCCATTTCACGTACTGTCATCTTCGAAGTTCACGCATGTCGTATTAGAATGAAGAAAATACCAACAAATTATAAATTTCGTTATGAGAGAAATTTTCTACAATGGAGATTTTTTTTCTAATTATATTTCATCATCTGTTGGAAGAAATCTTCAGGATTAGAAGAGAGCCTTTATGATTATCTTCGCAGTTTATTGTTCGATCATTGACAATTCATCTTTATGAACTATCTCTCAATAAATCATGATATTGATGTCTTTCTATTGCAAATATTTTTTCAGCATTATGAGGCTAATCTATGATTACATGTACCATGGCATCGATGTTTCTCTGTCACATAACAACTTGATCGTCTTTTCTTTTAGTTTATTCTATTGTCAATGCTTAATTATATCTTTTTTTCGATTATTTTCATAGATTTCAATAAGAAACAACAACTTCAGATGATCCTATTCTAACGAAGCATTTATGAAAGAGTAACCAGATACTTTGTTACAACGATTTCCCGATACTTGATTTCAGAGTATAGAAATAAATTTTAAAATTTCAATGCATGGTAACAAGAACATGTGGATGCATGAAAAACTGCTTTTTTTTGAAAATTTTCTACGGTATCATCACTGTTTGAATACATAGTTTCTAACTGTAAACTGTGAGGAATGAACATCTTCTTTCTTACTTCGTCTTGTTATATGTATATAGGGCTCTATGCAAGCAAGACACAGCTGATTTTCAGCATTTAGAATCGAAAACAATTTCAAGAGACTTTGAATTCTAATATTTGAAGACTTCATGAGATCAAATGGATTTCGGATGCACCAAGCAATTTTACTGATGTCTCAGAAGTCAATATTTCATCTATACAGAGAGCAACGACTAGTGATGATGTGCATCAAAATTAATAAAAAAGAATTTTTAAGTGTTCTTATCGGTGAACTCAAGGTTGAAATCCTAAAATAGTACTAGCTCTTCTGATCACGTTCTTCTTTGTTAAGATTAATTAAAAAAGATGAAAAACGTATTAATAAGGTTTTATTGGAACATGTTTTTATTGACGCTAAAGATGATTTTCCATGGGCTATAACTACTGTTAGTAAACCTGTTGCTGGTCTTAATGATAAATGTATGAAAAAGAAAAAAAATCTGATGAACAAAAAACTTCTATTCGTGAACGATCTCATTTACTTGAACGTGAACTTTCAGATACTACTGTGGAATTTCGTTTGTGAAGCTTTTTCTTTTTAATAATACATATACAATATTTATTTTTGCAAAACAATGTTTTTTCAAATTCATAGTTTCTGTCTTAGACGTATAATGAGAAGTACACAACATAAAAGAGCAAATAGACTTACGAAGGAATTACCCTAACTAACGCTCACCATTTGAGTTCATATTGGATTCACGCCTAAAATGAGTTGTCTCCATGAGCCTTTATCGCAGAGTTATGATTGGTTTAATAAAATTTCGCTTCACTTGTAGGTATTTCACAAAAAAAAAAGAAACAAATCATAAAATTTTGATCTAAAATGTTGTCTATGAATGGATCTAATGACTGCTAGAATATTTTGATAGTTTCAGCCGAAAAGAATGTTCCTCTGTAAAGATATTGAATTTCTAAAAATAGGTTTTTGTCACAAAGATCGAGTTCACTTGAGAATTGAATAGCTCAATGAAGGTACACTGTTTTCGGCTGAAACTTTCAGGGTATTCTAAGAGTCATTAGATCATCTATAGACAAAATTTTCAATCAACACTTCATTATTCGGTCTTTCACAGAGTTCCTAAAAATGGATTGAAAATCCAGTAAACTCGTCATAAGTCGGCGCCAAAGGAGACAAAACTTTTGAGGCTTTTGCTATTCTCATTGAGATTTGCATGTGGGTCCAATATGAGCTTGAACGATGCATAGCAGTTGGGATAGTTCCCGCATTAGGACAGGATATAAGTAAAGTATGAATATTGAGAGGTTTTGAATCGTATAGTAAACTAATGAAAAATATCCAACATTTTCAACCTTTGACTCTTCAATGTTTTGTAAATTTACCTTTGAGATAAAGAATCCATCTATTGCATTAAAATGATTCTCATCAATGAATTAACCAGTCAAAAATATCTCATTTTCAAATACTCAAATATAAATCGAATATTCGAACATATCGAACTAATAAAAAGTACTTGTTTGAAGATACTTGAAATCCATAATTGAGAAAC